AGAAGAAGAAGAAGAAGAATTTAAATACAAAGCATTGAAAAAAAATCCAGTGTTTTTTTTTGGGGGGGGGTTATACCCCGTATACCCCCAAAGACTTGAAATCGGCAACACAAATAGCCTTGTACACTAATGTTCATCACAGCACTATCCAAAATGACCCAAAGCTGGGAACGTCTCAAGTGCCCATCCACGAACGAATAGATAGACAAAACGTGGCGCATGCATGCGATGGACGATTACTGAGTCAATAAGATACGGAATGTGTGACTCTCAGAACAACGGCCTCCTTCGCCCTGAGACCAAAGGAACTAGACATGCCCAGGTTCCATGCCTGGACACTGTGATCAAAGATTCTACAGAAGAATCCTGCTCAAAAGGGGGGAGATGTAGCACAGAACTTCCATCCTTGATAGATGCTACAACACAGGTGGAACTTGAAGACAAAATGCTGGCTGAAAGAATTCAGTCACGAAAGGACAAACATTGCATGACCAGGACAAACATTGCATGACCGCACTTGTTGTTGTTGTTGCCATTGAGTGGTTCCAACCCACAGAGACCTTAAGGACAACCAAAGACATCCTCACAGCTGTCACGTTTGAGCCCATTGGTGCAGCCGCTGCATCGCGCCGCCTCCCTGAGGATCTTCCTCTGTCTTGCTGGCTTCCTACTTGAACAAGCACGATGTCCTTCTCCAGGGACTGGCCTCTCCAGATCACATGTCCAAAGTCTGTGAGATGAAGTCTTGTCATCTTGCCCTTTAAGGAGCATGCTGGCTGTACTTCGTCCAAGACAGATCTGTTTGTTTTCTTGGTAGACCACGGTACTTTATTCTTTGATGGGTTTAGCAAAATCACCTATTGCAAACATAATGTTATGTCTTTAGAGAATAATAGAAACAGATGTGAAAATCACGGGGTAAAGTGTTTGAGCAAAGGAAGTTTCTCCAGATCTCAAAGCACCAACCCACGTCAGGGATTGAATGGAGAGGAATGATTCCCTTTATGACCGAGAGACCTGAAAGAGATCAATCACCAAGCTAGCATCGCCACTGGTGATGGGATGCCTGAGGTTTGGTCTCTATGTGATTGCCTGAGCGTTGGATTGCTAACTGCTACGTCAGTGGTTCAAACCCACCTAGGGAGAAAGATGGACTGCCTCAAAAACCCTGGGAGGGGGGGTCCCACCTGCCCTGTGGGGAACCGACTCCCACCTCCACTAAGCCCACATGGAGGAGGCACACCAACACCCGTGATCCCAGGATGGTATCAGCCAGCACGTGACGTGGGATCCTGGCTTGCAGAAGGCAGAGGATGACGGTGGAAGCCCAACATACAATTGCAGGATGACACAGGAAATGAGCCTCCGGGGATTTCCCTCTCACCATAATTGAGGGACGGGAATAACCTGGTTATCAGACAGAGGGTGTTGGAGAGACGACTAGCGTAGGTTAAAATGATCAAGCTGACGTTAATGGATAAAGTCCCTCGCTCTCCTTTCTGATACACCTTGGGCTTGCTCTGGTCTTATTTTGTCACTGTGGGTAGCCTTCTTGACTCCCTGCTATGTGTTTGTCTATGTTTTCTGGTATATGAAGCCCAGGATAGGTGAATCTTTAGAGACAACTAGAATAAAGGTTCCTGGGGTGGGGGGTGCAAGGGGAGGTGGGGGGGATAGGGGGACCTGCTATCAAGGAATTCAAAAAGGAAGAAAATTTGTTGACACTGATTTTGACAGCAGTTGTACCACATGGCTTGATATGATTAAACTCTGAAATGTTCAGTCAAAGTAGGGAATGGTACGGATGTCTGGATTAGCTCCTAAGAAAAGAAAAGATTCTCACACAAATGAGGCAAAAGTACTAATGGAAGGTGTAACCTGGAGAAGTCCGGGGGAGCCAGTGACCTTGTTAGTGGACAGTGTCAAGTCAACTCCAACTGGACCTGCTTTCTACCATTTCACATTCCCAGCAATGGACAAGGCTCCAACTCTACGTCCCTGCCATCACCACCATGCAACCTAGCAATTCCGCTCCTAGGAATACCAGGGGTTCCCCCACCCCACCCCACCCCCCAAAGCGGAATTGTTTGCCCCGGGTGGAGTGGAGCTTTTGTAGTATGCATTTTTCCCACTAGGTGAGCTTCGAGGACTCACTCTGAGTCAGTGCACCCAGTGGTGTCACCTGGGAAGGTTCTCTCTGGTCACAGTGAACTTTTTTGTAAAAGCATTTTCGCTCAGAGCTCGTGTTTTGTGATGGCCCATTTAAAAGAACAGCATGCAGCTGTGAAATTTTGTTTCCTGCTTTGGAAAAAAATGCCATAGAAACTGTTGCGATGTTGAACTCGGCTTACA